CTTGCTGAGGGTGCACTCAGTCCTGCTGTCTATATCAGTGATGGTTTAGACCATCCAGATACTTTACCACAATAGCAGAAAACGTAGAGATAAGTGATCCTAAGGAAACTGCGAAGAGAACCAAAATGGGCACCTGAAAGGAAGCCTGCTGAAAGTCCACTGAAAATTACAATCCACAGCTCCAAAGGGATTTTTTTTCTTTCTCTGTTTTTTAATGGAAAGTATTTTACCTGCTGCAAGCTCAGTCTCATGGATAAAAATAAAACCAAAACCCCAAAATCAAAACCAAAATGAAAACCAAATCAGAAAACAGAATGAAATATGCCTGTTCTGAATAGTTAAGCACCTGACTATTGTCTGAGCAAATATAAAAGTACATAATGATTATAACTGGACATCTATCTAGGAAGAAGCTTACAGACAGCAAAAAGCCCTCCCATCTAGCAAGCACAGGCATTCAACAGCTCTAAGCTGAAGCTGTGCAAATTTTAGATAAAAATAAAGTGAATATTTTAACAACAGAGACAATTAGTCATTGGACTACCTTACCAATGTTATGGGGTAGTGTCTCCATTACTTCTTTACTTTAAAATCATGATTGGTTTCTCTGGAAGATGTATCTGTCAAGAAAGACGGGAATACATATGGCATGGGGCCAGCATCATCTGCACTTATAGTGGGAGGGACTTTTTCTCCCTGGTCCCTGTCTTGTGGGCCTTCAAGTCGAGAGCTGTGAGAGGAGAGGTTGCCAGTGAAGACTGCGGCAAAAAAAGTTGTTGAGACCCTCAGCCTTCTCCTTGTCTGTTGTTACCAGTTCACCACTGTTACTCATCAGGGAGGGGACACTTTCTTTAACCTTCCTTTTCTGGTTGACGTGCCTGTAGAAGCCCTTCTTATTTTTCTTGGCATCCCTTGCCAAGTTCAGCTCCAGCTGTGCCTTGGCCTTCCTGACCTCATCCCTACATACCAGGGCAACATCCCCATACTCTTCCCAGGATCCCTGTCCCTGCTTCCACCGCCTATGCAGCTCCATCTTGCCTTTTAGTTTGGCCAGCAGGTCTTGACTCATCCACGCTGGTCTCCTGCCTTCCCTGCCTTATTTCCTACACTTGGGGATCAAGAGCTCCTGCACTCTGTGGAAAGCCTCCTTAAAGATCTGCCAGGTCTGTTCCGCTCCTTTGTCCTTGAGGGCCATTTCCCAGGGGGTCCTATTGACTAACTCCTTGAAGAGCTGGAATTTGCCTTTCCTGAAATTCAGGGTCCTGACTATGCTTCTTATATGACTCATACGCCTTAGGACAGTGAACTGCGCCAGCGCATGTTCACTACAGCCCAGGCTGCCTCCAGTCATGACATCCCCATTGAGCTCACTCGCATTGGTGACCATCAGGTCCAAAATCACTTCCCCTTTGGTAGGGCTGTCTATTTCCTGTCTTAGAAAGTTGTCATCAAGGCACTGCAGGAGTCTCTTGGATTGCCTACAGCCTGCTGTGCTACTTTTCCAACAGATGTCAGGTGGTTGAAATCCCCCAGCAGGATGAGAACCTGTGAGCTCGATGCCTCCTGCAGCTGGAGAACGAAGGCTTCATCAATAGGCTCCCCTTGATCGGGCAGCCTGTAGTAGACACCAACCACGAGGCTCCCTTTGTTGTCTCGATCCCTAATTCCTACCTATAAGCTTTCAACCTGCTCGTGGTTATTCTTTAGGGACAACTCTTCACACTCTACCCATTTCTTAACATAGAGGACAACACCTCCACCCGTCCTTCCTCTCCTGTCCCTTCTGAACAGCTTGTAGCCATCAATAGCCACACTCCAGTCATGGGATTCATCCCACCAAGTTTCAGTAATGGCCACTTTGTCTTAGCTTTCCTGTAGCACGATAGCTTCCAAGTCCTCATGTTTGTTGCCCATGCTGAATGCATTGGTGTAGAGGCATTTCAGCTGTGCTGCTGGCTGTGTCACCTTCTTAGATGGACACCCCTTCTTTCCCCCAGGGTGTTTTGTGAAAGCTACCCTGTTGGCTCCTATCACCTCAGGAGCCTCTGTAAGACTGATTTTCCTGATTGAGCTTTAGATTTTGTAATTATTTTGCTAGAATCAGAACTTTTATAATTACTGTCCCCTTAAAAAATCCACCCAAATCAGGGGTAAATTCTGTGTAGTGCAGGTTAGGGTTCTAAAATAAGAAGCAGATGAGTTCAACCTGAGCTTCAGTGCACTATTAGGTAATACATTTGCCAGTCGCACAGTCTTCCCAGAGATATATGTCCTTGTTGGGTTGTTTAGCAGCTCTTATTATTCCTTAGTCACTGTCATTGGTTTTTGGGAATACCTCCAGTTATTCAGGTGCTAACATGCTTGTTTTTAAAAGGAGCTTAAAAATGCAAATTGTGCAACGCCTAAAGCATCTTGTTATCAGCCCTGATTGCTTTGCCTTTCCTACTGAGCAGGTATAACGTAAAGAACCTGCAAAAATACCTAACATTTCTGAAGAATAAAACCAAGGTAACAGAAGGGAAAGATTTTAGGCTGGAGTTCTGACTTTATGGTGAATATGGGGTTTTGCAGTTTCTTTGATACTTGGCAGAAAGATGGCTCTCTGAATTGTTAAAAGTTAGTTCTTCTGTGCAATTTTCCACCTTAAGCCCACAAAGAAAACCCCCAGTTTGTGCGTTGCTGTGGTTTTTTTACAGTACTGTGCATGTGTTCTGCTTTGCTCTCTTAGTGGCTGCCAGAAAGTGCCAGGTATGATGTATTATCTGGAAATCAAGAAAAAGCAATTGCCACTTTAAAGCGGATAGCAACAGAAAATGGAGCTCCAATGCCTTTGGGAAAATTAATTATTTCCAGACAGGTATGTACAGGTAACAGGCACATTCATAACGTGGGATACAATGAAGCTGTGCTACATTCATATGTATTTTTATAAGCAAATAATCAATGTTAAGTTTCACTTTAATGTCTCAACCAGCAATAAGAAAACGAGAGATGATCATATATGTGCCTTATTCACAGTGAGAAAGAGTTAGCTTCTCATTTTTATTTACATGAAAGTTGTGAAAGTGAAAAGGACCTTTAAAGTGGGCATTAATGTTACTTAACCTCACTCGAAGACCCTGTTTTTAGGGAAAAGCAAACCTTGAGGCTACCAAAGAACTCGGATCAGGACTCAGGAAACAAGATGGGATTTGACTCCTTACCTGCATCTCATTTTGAATCAAATGCAGATTTTCTGGAGTGGGGAAGCTGCAAGCTCCTGTTCAGTCCTTGTACATGGAGTAATTCAGGCTGTTACTTGTGAGCCACATGTTACTGTATGAATTGCATTGGATTTTTTTTTCATTACAGCTTTATGTGGCCAACTTCTCAGCACCCCTGTCAGCGTATAAAGCAGCTCTGCATCTACAGAACAAAGAGCAGACTTTTATACGAGAAGAAAATTGCCAAGTTAGCTAGCAAGGAGGGACAGCAGAGGGAGACCTGTAGATCTGAACAACAGCAAGATTGTAAAGCCAGGCAGGAGCCTGTCAGTAATGACAGTGTCTTGCTGATCAGAGATGGAGGTTTGATTTTCTAAGGTCAGGATCGGTGAGGGTTTGAGCTCTTGTGCCATTCACAAATGCTTGGTTCAGTGACAGTAATTTTGATGTGCAGTTTTTTTTATAGTTTTGTTTTCAGGGTGGAGTGGGAAAGTACTTCTCCTTAACTACAAGTTTATGGGCTGAGTCTCTCTCAGAACCACTCAGTTTGCAAGGGTTCTGCTTGCAGGAGGTCTGCTCGAGGTTCCTCAGGACCTTACCCTGGATCAGAAGCCCTGAAGGGCTGCTCTAATTCCCAGGAGCAGGCTGAGGGCCACCTGTGAGTGGGCAAAGCTCTGCTCTGCCTCCAGCCCCACCTTGTTCTGACAGGTTCTCACCTTCCTGGTGGAGGAGTAGCACGCCCTGTGCATGGACTGGTTTGAAAATGTTTTGCTTCTAGAGAATTTCCCTTGGCAGAGGAATCCTTTACTTGCATCCCAGCTCCAGTGTGGCTCCTTAAACCCTCAGCTGAACCCAAGCACTCCTCTGAGATGCCCTGAGTACACAGTACTGTGTATTGCATTAACTCTTACCTCTCTGCACCCTGCAGTCCAGGACCAGTGAATGCCCTCATCCTCTGACCTCTGCTTGTTTTCAACAGGAAGACCGAGGGAAAATGAGGGACCTTTTTACGCCCCACTTTCGATGGACCACATTGTTGCTCTGGTTTATATGGTAAGAGGAAATATAAATGACTCAGTGCCAGCACAATTCTAAATGGTTTTTAATGGAGGTGTTTTACAGTATCACTAAAATACAGCAACTTCCTCCTCAAAAAAAACCAACCCAACCTGTATTGATTTGTAATTTATTCAACCACCCAATCAGTAGCATTCTCAATCTAATTGCCCTTTCATTTTCTAAATGCTGGTAGGAAATTGCTTTGAGGTAGCACTTAGGGGAAGTCCTCACACAGTGGGTTCAGTTTGGATTCATGTTGTTTATTATAGGTTTGACCAGCTAAGACTTCCTCTCTCATTTTCTTCCTTGCAGGTTTTCCAATGCTTTTTCGTACTATGGGTTAGTTTTATTAACTACAGAGTTCTTCCAAGCAGGAGACGTCTGCAGCAGTGAGTACTAGACCATCTTTTCTTTTTAAATATGATCTGCTAAGTGATGGAATATCTTTTATTAGAACACCTTCTGCTGTTAGTTTGGAAAGGACTGTGGCTGCCAGCCTGAATTTTAAGGCATTCACTTAAGGGGTTACTTATTTTAAACATTTTTGATAGACTGTTCCTCATTTTCTGCACAATGCAGAGAGGTCCTGCAGTTTCTCTGAGCCCAAAATGTTAAACAGCAAGACAACCTTCAAGGAAGACCTGTTAGGAAAAGTATCTGTTCTTCTTGAGAAAAAAGAGAATAAGTGGAAGTTTCCAGATTTGACAGGCCTAATTAGTTCTGAGACAGAGATAACTGCTGCTGCTGTGGAGCTCCCAGGTTCTCCAGATGTGAAGAGCTGCTGAGAAAAAAGATAATGCTGGGAGACAATCACCCGGGGTTTTTTGCAGGTTTTTGTGTAAAAAAAAGTGCTTTGACTGCATTAAGAAGAGGCTTAAAAGGTTTGATTCCCCAGGGGAAGCATGATTGCATTCAGAACGCTTATAATTAGTGAAAACTGTCTGATAGTTGGGAAATTATAGAAAGGGGATGGGTAACATTGGGAGAAGACACAGATCCCAAGCTTTTACAACAGTGTATTAGCTATATGAGAGGTCTAACTGTGGTTAGCCTCCACAAAGGAGCAGGCATCCTTTAGAAAGGATGTTTTTACAAAGACGTGGTCTTCTTGAAGTACCGATGAAGTGCTAGTATCCCAATGTATGTAAGGAGAACCTGAATTATTGATGTTAATTCTGCTTACTGTCGTGAGCCCTGGCCTGGAAAATAACTCAGCCTTTGTAGCTGATAAGCAAGTGTAAGTTTTCATTCTGACGGTGATGGTTACAGAGGTAAGACATCCTGCCACAAATAAGATGATAAACTGTTCAGTTCCAGCTGTATTTCCAAGGGAGGACGTATCTCCGGTGCAGCAGGGTCTTTTCAGTACATCCCTTCTACCAGTGTCAGCAGTCAGAGTGATAGAGGCATAGCAGGGGTAAAGGAAGGCGAGCAGAGAAGAGATTACTTGAAATATATTTATTTTCTTTTTCCTCCTACAGTATCCAATAGAAGAAAAGAAGTGAAAGCAAAGTGCAGCCTGACCTGTGAGTATCTGACAGAGGAAGACTACACTGATCTGCTCTGGACAACCCTGTCAGAATTCCCTGGTGAGTGGCAATGAGAAGCACCAGTTCCTCCCTACCAGTGGCTCAGTGTGGTTGGAGTGGGCTCTGGTACAAGCAGTGAAATGGGCTCTTCTGTCCGGCCTAATGCCAACGTATTTCCTGCAGCACTGGAGCTCCTTGCTTGTACTACTTGATATATGCAGTGCACACAGTAGTTGTAGCTCCCTTCACTGCCCATGTGATCCCTACAGAGAAAATCACTATTAATTGCTTTGTGAAGCAATAATGGTCCCTCCAACTGTGGATTCCATCCAAGCAACATATTAGACCTTCAGAAGAAGAGCAACAATTAAATCAAAGGGGCAGAATCATTTGAACTTTTATCCATAAATGACTTTCTAGAACTATTTTAAAAGGACTGTGGGTATAGTGAATCAATGGAGAACTTGCTCCTTAAAGCTCTGTGTCATGATTTTCAGTCCATTTCAATTAATTTCAATGAACAGTCCAACACCAGACAAGCAAAAGGGTTAATATGTAATAGCCATTGATTCTTCAGATGTAGAAGATGATCTGTCACTATTAATCTGTCTGAAATAATACTGTGAGGTAGTGGTCAAGTTATTTTCACTGTTCTAGTTTCAGGGACAAAGGCTCAAAGAGAAGCCATTTAATAGATAAAAAGTTGTAAGTCCATGATAAATATGGTAAATATGCAGAGTCCCTACCTAATGGGAGGACTGTCCTGCATAACCGTCGTTTCGGGGAGGACGTCAGTGTACAGGGGACAGAAAAGAGAAGCTGTACTTCTGGGCTGATGCTGTAGCTGAAAGGACTGAAAGGTAGGAGTAAGAAATACTGGCAGGAATACCTCTGAATATAACACTGGCAACTCTGATGCCTGAATAACCCCCACACTTGCTGTACATCTGTGTTTAAAAGCATCTGGACAAGTTGCATAAGAGAGAATACTCTGTGAAGCTTACAGAGCTTGATCTATTTCCTTTATCTTAGAGCAGGTGGGAAATAGTGTAATAGCAGCATATAAGTAACGTAATAGGAAGAAAACACTGCTTTCTGCAGAGCCCTTAAATCTAGCAGCAGGAAGATTGGCAGGGAAGAATGGTCAGAAGTTGAACAAAAGATATTGCAGTGAGACATGAGGCAGGCATTTTTAGCATTCATGTTGGTAACCGCTGCCATAATCAGTGGTTAACAGATGTCAGAGTTGGTTGCTCACCCCTACGTCAATGTGTACCCCTGAGTGTGCGGGTGTGTGGGTGTGTGGAGCAGCAGGGCTGTGAACATGGAGCGAGACTCACCAGCTGGGACACAGAGCTTCTGTTTTCATGTGGCACCAATGGCTGGGGTGATCCATTCTGCATCCTGATGCCTGATGCCTCTGCCAGCAATGTATTTTTAAAGACATAGAGAACAAAACTTCAACTCTCAATAACCCAGCCTATGTTAAAAGCCAGCTGCTGCAGCCTCCACCTTGGCTCAGTTCAACTTGTCTCCTTCTACAGGTGTGTTAGTAACACTATGGATTATTGATCGGATAGGCCGCAAGAAAACCATGGCCCTGTCCTTTTTGGTCTTCTCCTTTTGCAGTCTTCTGCTGTTTCTCTGTGTTGGAAGGTAAGTAAAACACGGCAAACAACCGGTGTGTCTGATTCATCCATGTACTCTCTTGATTATGGCAGGAGAACTGGAAGTGATGGCTTGAAAAGCCATGAATGAGACGTTCGTGCTCAGCTGGAGAAAGAATTAAGGATGGTGTTAGGTTTTCTCACCAGAGTTTGGAAAGAAACTAAAAGAAGCAGGAGAGGAGAAATCCTTCATTATAATCTTGCTGACAGAGCAATCCAAAGGGGAAAATACGACCCTACGTCTGAGTAGGAGGTAACCAGTGGACAATTTTAAAATCAGATCTGGTGTAATGAGCCTGGGTGGCTGGTTCATGCCCTGTTGTCTCCCACCCATTCTGTGTTTCCCCAGGCTGACTGTACCAGGGCAGTGCTTCACAACCAAGCCCGATCTGTGCCTCCCGTCAGCGGCTCTGACTGCTTCCCTGGTTGTCATGGGCTCTCAGTGGTCCAAGTGCTATGGCACAGTTACGTGAGAAGCAGCAGACACAGACTGGCACCAGTTGTACACAGCACGGCTGGTGGAGCTCGGTGCTGGCATTGCAGATACATGGGGCCCGACTTCCAAAAGAACTTGGGCTCACATCTTTGTATTGTTCAGTATTTGTCCTTCATGCACATTTTCCAAAGGACGAGTCAGTTGGCAGCTCTGCCCTTGAATCTTAACGGTACCACATTTCCAGCTGAGCTCTGAGAGTCTGTCCCTGACTGCGTCTGGCCTTCATGCCACATGTGTGTGACAATGTCTGTACCCTGGGGCTGACGAACAAGAAATGACCTCACAGCCAGAGGGGCTCTCTCAATTTAAACCTTTTCAGGCACTGTTCAAAACCCTGCAGTACAGAGACCTTGTAATAAGAAACCTTACAAAGTTGCAAATATCCAGGTGGTACATAGGTTCATGTCTTTTAGACAGGAAAGCTGCACTCTCAGTTCCTTCCCAAGAGTGCTGGGTTTTTGTTAGCACCATTCATAACGTGGAATATATTTTTCTTATTTAGATACGCTTAGGCATTTGCTGCTTGTTTCAATAGGCCACAGCTGTCAGTTAGAGTGAATACATTTAGAAAGCTCATGTGATTGTGGGAATGCAGATTGTTTGGCATCATTGTTATATTAAAGGTCCAGAAAAAATACAAAGGGTTCATTAAAAAAAAACAAAAGAAATGGTTCTAACAAATTTAGCATTTTTATTGCACTTGCCTCCAAGTTAAACAAACAGATTGTACAGAACAATCCCAAACACTGCTCTCCTTTTTCTTCTCGCAGAAATGTTCTTACTGTGCTGCTCTTCATTGCAAGAGCTTTTATTTCAGGAGGATTTCAGGCTGCTTATGTTTACACTCCTGAGGTAAGGAGGTTGTTTTTGTAATGAGACTATTTAAGGGGAGTGAGAACATGGTGGGAAAGTCATTTTTATGACCTCTTCACAAAGGACCTTACCCCAGGTATGAGCTGATGAGCTCATTGTCATTGTCTAACAGAACTTGCTGTAGTACCACTTAATAATTTCCATTGATTTAGCTGACTGGAGGGAAGAGAAGTTCCCACTGGGGTTAATGGGCTGATGCTTTGTTCCCAGGTTTATCCAACAGCCACGCGTGCTTTGGGCCTGGGAACGTGCAGTGGGATGGCCAGAGTGGGAGCCCTCATAACCCCATTCATCGCACAGGTAAAACCCCTTCTCCCGAGGCTGAAGGCACAGGATGGTGATGGAGAACCTGCTCTGCTGCTGTAAGAACCAAACCAAGGGCAGTCCGTGTGCGATGTGTTGAAGGAGGGCCGTTGTTGCCTGTTTCTTGAGGAGAGTTCAGGCTCATCTCTCAATTTACCTCTTGCTCCAGAGGTCCATATGTTGAGGGATAAATAACCAAGAAGCAGGCTGCTGGATGAGACTGAGGGCACCTTGGAAGCCACGACCTGGAGATGGGATTTGTGCTATTAGTATTTGTATTTCCTTCTGTGCTAAGGCTCAGGGGTACTATTGTGTATTTTCTGCCTTTTTTTCTGCAGGTGATGTTGGAATCCTCAGTCTATTTAACGCTGGTGGTTTACAGTGGATGTTGCCTGCTGGCCGCCGTGGCTTCCTGCTTCTTGCCCATCGAAACAAAAGGTCGTGGCTTGCAGGAGTCCAGCCACAGAGAATGGGGACAGGAGATGGTCGGGAGAGGATCTCACTCCCCGGGGGTCACCAGGTCAAACTCCGGATCCCAGGAATGATGGGACATGAAAACCTGCTGAAAGAATGGATGATATGAGCAAGGTCTCTTTCACAGAAAAATCCAAGCCTGAAGCATAGCAAGCTGACCATACCGTCACTGCCAATGTCATGTGTCAAACTGCAGGAGCTGTTGGGTCAAACCTAAGCAAATCGTGTCTCTGCTGCTCTTTGCTCACACTCATAAAAACTTTACTTCTGTCTTGAGAGGCATTTGATCCAGATGTCACTTGAAATTTAGCAGGAAGGGGTTTTCTTAAGTCTGTTGTGCTTGCATGGTCAGCTATTCAGCTTAAAATGTCCCGTGTCAAGCAAATAGCTAACTGAATGCAACTCAGTATAAGCTGTAATTAAAATAATGTACTCTTGATGCCTAAAAACAAAAGATTCATATTTATTGTGTACTGGCATAGCACACGGTGGATTCCATACACTACAGAGTAGGTTTAATGAATTAGATGCCTGCCTTGCACTTTTTAGCAACCACCAACAACAACAACAATGAAGTGTGATAACGGCAAACCAGGCGATGCTTCCCAGTTCCCTTGCTTATGGGTTCTGTTCCTTGAAAATTGATGGGCACTGAATGCTTGGAAACGATGTTCTGAATGTTTCTCCCATCCAAGGCAGGTAGTTTGAGCCAGCAAGGAGTGATATTTGTTGCAAAGGTGGATGTAAATCATGATGGTCCGGAGCAGAATTGGACTTTTCTACCATTGCCAAAAGCATTGAGCACTCTGTCTGCTGCTTGGTGAGGACTGCTTCAGCTGTGCCGGTGTCTCTGTGTGTGTGGAGATGCACGCTGTGGTTTTCTGCTTGGGTCCAGGTATGTTTCTGCTCAATTTGCCTAAGTACGTCCTTGCGGTGCCGTGGCCAAAACCTTTGAGAACAACGCCCTGGTCTGCACAGCTGCGTGTCGCGGTTCGGCTGGGGCTGCTTTCCAGTGTCTCCCAACAGAAGGTGACCTCCTGCTATGGCTGCTGGTTGTAACTTGACCATAACGTCAAGCTGGTGACACAGGAATGGAGCTGGCATCGTGTCATAAATGAACAAAACTCAGCTGCAATCGTCCTAGGATGAGGAACTTCGCTTCTCCACTCCTCGAGGTCGATGATCTTGGCTGAGAATGTAACAGAGCTCAGGTGAGGGTGAGTTGGTCTTGTCTGTCCAAAATCTGTCCCTCTGCAGGCAGGCAGACTGCAGAGCCTGTGGATGTGCAGTGAGGAAACTCGTGAGGAAGCGGGGGACACATCTCATCCGCGTCTCAGTTTATTTTCAGGGTTCCAGACTGTGGAAAACACACACAACCAAATGTGAGCTGGACTAAATGCTCATCGCTGGGCTGGGGGAAGCAATACATTGCTATGGGATGCACGGTCAGTTGTCTCACATAAATGTTGGTAAGTGTGCAACAAATTTTGCACGGTAGAATATTTTAAGTATTCTGGGAACCAAGCCCCTTTTCTGTGGGGCAAGAAGAGGTCACAAGGTCCATGTTTGGGTGCAATACAAATGAACACAGCTGGAGTTCAGCTTTCACGCAGGATTTTGCAGTACTGTAGTGCAGTATAATGCTCCAAGACGTGGTAGGCTAATTCCTTAAAGAAACTGAGGAAACTCAGCCTAATAAAAAAGGCCAAAGAGGTTCTTGATCTTCTGTGTGTGGGTATCTCCTGCTGAGAGGAGTCGAAGTTGGACAAGGCACCAAAACGTCTGTCCCTTCATTTACTGCTCCGTGATGGCCACTGCAATGAAAGCCCCCAGAAGGGGTTGGTCTAAACACTTCCAGTTCAAGTTCCAGTCGATCCCAAATTAATGGAGAGGATCAGAGGTGAGACTGAAGATCAAGTGCATGGACCCGTGGCCCGAGGAGTGCCGCCTTGCAGCCTGCCACTGAGCGTGGCTGTTCTTGAGCGCCTTTGGTTAAAACTCTGCTTTTCCACTGTTAATGTTCACACAGCACTTCATTTTTTGAGTCAATATTCAACAGTTGTAAAGGACTGCATTGCAGTGGCCTTCGAAGTGTGCATTCAGAGAGTTTTATGTGAAGTATATATATATATATCTCATAAATGTGCACATATGTATACTTCAAATAAAATATCCCAGGTAAAGATTTATAGGTAATGCGAAACCTTTTGATGCTGTTGAGGAGTTCAGTTTTAACCTGTGACATTTACAGTATTTAAAAAAAAAACCACAGAAGAATTGAAGGCATTTTTGCTTTTCACTCTTGAACTCCACGTTGCAAATGTAGATCATGATATAAACGCCACGATTGGCCATCGTCATCCTTTGGGTCTTAAAAGACAGCGATGCCCAAAGCGCGATCCAAAGGTTGGGAGATTTCCCCATGGATATTTGTGGGCTTAGGATCAGGTAAATGGAGGAGAATGGGTGATCCCACCTCATGGAAATTGTAGATCATGATATAAACACCACGATTGGCCATCGTCATCCTTTGGGTCTTAAAAGACAGCGATGCCCAAAGCGCGATCCAAAGGTTGGGAGATTTCCCCATGGATATTTGTGGGCTTGGGATCAGGTAAATGGAGAATGGGTGATCCCACCCCATGGAAATCAGGAGGGGAAGCAGCTGAAATTCAGGTTTTGCAGGTCCCTGCGTGTTGTTAATGGTGGAGGGACATTTGAGATGGCTCACCGAGAAAATGAAGAACATTGGGGTTGATACACAATAGCCTATAAATAACCACGAGTCATATTTTGTTAATATGGCAACACCGTTGTTGTATATAATAAGCTTCCAAAGATTGTTTTACACACCGTCGAGTGTTTTTCACTGATGAAGGAATTGCTACAGCTTGTTCATTGAAAACAACAGAGGGAGGTAATTTTGAATTACAACGGAGAGCAAACACATCTGTGGGACTCAGAGATTTGCTGACTGTCCAATGTATAAATGTGGGAAAAATAATTCTCCAAGTGTGCTTTGATGGAATGATTTCTTATTCCTAAATGCTTGCCGGAAGAACATTGAATGTTTTCCTGTGTTTGAATGTACAGTTTCTAAGCTGGATACATTTTAATGTTTAAAAACTTTGTGTCTATCGAGCTTGTTGTAAAATATTCCTTTTGTTCCTATGTTACTGATGCAACATTGGATAGTTTAATTCCTCACTAGATATTTTATGTTAAACAAATAAATAGTTTTTTCAGTAAAAAAGCTTTTGGCTGTTCTGTGGGACTTGTACGAAGGGTCGGGAAGTTGAACATTTTTGGTTGGTTTATACCATTTTTGTTCAGTTTATACCATTTTTGGTCGGTTTATACCATTTTTGTTCAGTGTATATCATTTTTTGCTTGGTTTATACCATTTTTTGCTTGGTTTAATACCATTTTTGCTTGGTTTATACAATTTTTGTTCAGTTTATACCATTTTTGGTCGGTTTATACCATTTTTGTTCAGTGTATATCATTTTTTGCTTGGTTTATACCATTTTTTGCTTGGTTTAATACCATTTTTGCTTGGTTTATACAATTTTTGTTCAGTTTATACCATTTTTGGTCGGTTTATACCATTTTTGTTCAGTGTATATCATTTTTTGCTTGGTTTATACCATTTTTTGCTTGGTTTAATACCATTTTTGCTTGGTTTATACAATTTTTGTTCAGTTTATACCATTTTTGGTCGGTTTATACCATTTTTGTTCAGTGTATATCATTTTTTGCTTGGTTTATACCATTTTTTGCTTGGTTTAATACCATTTTTGCTTGGTTTATACAATTTTTGTTCAGTTTATACCATTTTTGGTCGGTTTATACCATTTTTGTTCAGTGTATATCATTTTTTGCTTGGTTTATACCATTTTTTGCTTGGTTTAATACCATTTTTGCTTGCTTTAATACCATTTTTGTTCAGTTTATACCATTTTTGGTTGGTTTATACCATTTTTGTTTGGTTTATACTATTTTTGTTCAGTTTATCATCAGAGATTTGGGGACTGCGCTGCTGTGTGGCCTCAGCCAGGGCTCAGCACTTTGCGGACCTGACTCGTTTTGCGCATTTGGACATAAAGAAGAGCCGCAGGACTCGTTTTCGCATCACGAGTAACCTCACAGATAACCACACTTAAATAGTTGTCAAATTCTCCTAAGGTCTTTAGTTGATCTTTGCATTTAATTCAGTTTGGACAATAAAAACCAGTCAGGTTTGCTTCGTGCCTATGGGTGTGGTTGTGGGTCACAGCCACCAGTGGGACCAGTTGGTGACTGAGGGGGGGCTGGATCACGGGAGCAATATGTAGGGAGGATATTCATTCTTCTGTGTTTTCTGTGGACTTTTTGGCATCCTCAGCCATTTCTAAAGCTGATTCTGTGTTCCCAAATGCCAGAGCCGCTGTTTGCTTACAGAGGGTGACTTTACTGCTACTTGATGTGTTTCCAGCTTTGTTCTGTATCGCAGGCGAGCGTTGTTGGGAACTGTGAGTTCCCAAAATGTGCTGATGCCAGCTGCAGAGAGGAGGTTTTGTCAAGAGCCGTCATTAAGAGGAGAATTAGATATGCAAATATTACCTTTATTGTGCACGCAGTAACTTGTGGCCTTTAAGAAAATAAGCAAAATCAGATTTCAGACAAGATCACACCTCTAATCATTTCTGTTTGTTTCCAAAGAGGTCAGAGCACAGCTCCTGTGGGCTCTAAGATCAGAAGAATCAACTGCTTATTGCGAGCTGTATGATGACTTGCTGCTCCCCTGCGAACCCAGCGTAGCTCCTCTGAAATCAGGCAAGGGGGGTTGGGTTTACAGCAGTGCAAGTGGGAGGAGAATACGGTCCTTGGTATCTCTTATGGGGAATAAGTGAAATGAAATAAGCCCTGAACAGCTCCTGCTGGAGCGGTGTCGCAGACCCAGCTCCTCCAAGAGGCACAACCTGCTCCGAGCCACGGCTCACAGCCGGAGGAAATGAGAGACTGAAGGGCCCGTGGGAGTTTTGGGGACGGGAACAGCTCTTTTTCGTCCGCTCTCTGCTATATATAGAGGTTGGCAAGTAGGCAGGGCTGGGACATGTTGCTTTTGTTGCTAAAAACATCATTTGGAAAGCCCATTTTAGGCAGCGGCTGCTGTCTAGCACCAGATACACTAACCAGGTGCTGTCGACCCATGCTTTGTCCTGGCGTGAACGTAAGGAAAGCCGTTGTAACCGGAGCACGTGCAGCCGGAGCTGCGGGCGCTTCCCTGGGAGCTTCAGAGCCTCTTCCTACTAAGGAGCTTTTGCCTCCTGGGGGGGAGCTTGCAAATCTAATTACACACCGGGTGTCGGCGCCGCCGGCGCGGACCTCAGGTGGCACCGGCTCCGTTTCAGATCCCGTCCCATGGTGCAGATGAACCGCAGGACAGCAGGGATTTCAGCTGAACCCTGCCTGCCCTTTGCAGACCGATCCCCGGCACCGACTTTGCCCCAGATAATTAATTCAAAATAAGCCTTTCATATTTTAAAGCGTGTCCTTTGGGTGCGTTGTGCTAGGCTGGGGTGGAGGGACCTCAGCCAGCGACAGAGCTGGCAGTGACCTGAAACGGAGACGCCGCAAACCGACGCTGGAGCTGAGGGGAGGCCGGCACGGCCCGTGGGCATCGCCGTGGTGTTCCCATCTTTCTGCCCCAGATAATTAATTCAAAATAAGCCTTTCATATTTTAAAGCGTGTCCTTTGGGTGCGTTGTGCTAGGCTGGGGTGGAGGGACCTCAGCCAGCGACAGAGCTGGCAGTGACCTGAAACGGAGACGCCGCAAACCGACGCTGGAGCTGAGGGGAGGCCGGCACGGCCCGTGGGCATCGCCGTGGTGTTCCCATCTTTCTGCTGTGATTTCTAAGCTACGGCTGT